GTTATGGGGATGAGGAGACATAAAAAACAAACACCATTTTTGCAATAAATAAATAATTTATTTGATGGATATACATTACTCCAAGTTGCCATTGTGCTTACATGGATTAAAAAGGCTGTTGTGCATATGGCACAATTTTCATGATTTAGCAGTATAAGTCTCATGTAAACATTTTGCAAGTATTTACTGTTGCCCAATAAGTTAAAACAAATGATATATGCATACAAGCACTCAAAGAAGAATAAAACACTGTGGCTCTATAAAAAAAACATAGGCTTAAGTATTCTGTTTGCCAAACAACAAATTTTGAAGCAATGCTGGGTTTAATTGTTCACACTATGCAGAAAATTCTTTGTCCTATTTTGTTGAATTGGAAATGAGAACCTGCAGCTTTCCAGCAGTCGAAGAACTATAGGTTCTAGCATACCCTTTATTGTAGTAATAGCTGGGAGATACTGCATCTAAATGCCTGGATGTCATATTTTCTCCCTGGTATCAAGCCCTGGGATAATGTAATCCTTCTCCCTCTTCCCAGAAACAAAACTGCAGCCTATCAATTCTTCCCTTGTCATCTTGTTGGTTTGGCAGGCTCATTAAAACAAGAAAACTATGCAGTTTATTTTGTCAGGCCTCTTGGCAAGCTGGTTGATTGAACCAATTACAGCCCTATGTTGAGTCTGCAATGAGTGTGACCTTACTGCCTCTTGGAGCAGTCGAAGATGTAGACATGAAAAACAACTCCTTCACTTTCTAATGACTTTCACGACAGTCAGAAGCACATGTTTGTGCCCCATTTTCCAAATCCTTAAGATGAAACTCTTGTGTTCTTTTTTTTTTTTTCTCTAAAATTCTGGTAGAGCATTATATCCACTTTTGAAATGGTTTCCTAAAAAAATGTTATAAACTTACATATCCCTCCCATGATTCCTTGCAGACTCTTGATTATTTGAAAGGGGGGTGGGGTTGGGGGTCGGGGTTCTACAGCTGTATTATTTCTCTAGCTTGTATAACAGTGTATGCAATCTCACCTTCACAGACATTGTACATTCACGTGTGGCTTGTTTCCCTAGTTTCTCCATTCTTTCTGGGAGGAATCCGTAAAATCCCCAGTAATTCTCATAGCAGATATGACTGTTTTTTATTTAAGATTCCTGAGATTATACAAAGGCGTAGAGAGGTGGCACAGAGAGGTGGCACATCTGTCATTTTTGCATTACCAACTGCTGGCAAGAACCCTATTGTTACCAAGCTTTCAGAAGGGGATAAGTCACTGGGTGTAGACAAAGAAGCAACCAACAATCTTTATGTGCAAATACTCTATGTGGAATACTGGGGAAATAAGTTTCATATAACAATAATTTCAGCTTTGGCTTGGTGTTCTGCTTTAAGTTATCTGTATAGGCAGAAAGAAGATTCTGTATGAATAATTCCAACCATTTCAGCAATTATCGAGCTATGTATGTCTGTGTAATTATTAGATTAGGTCAGACAATTGGATTGAATGGCTGATCAAACTGGCTGGAATTTGTTTTTTCATTTATTGTCAACAAAGGACAGTCTATGGAGATGTCTGTAAACAACATCCAATCAGTTCTAGAAATGTGCAATTGCAGTGAGGATGAGGGAAGATGCTTTGTTCTTAAGTTACAACAAAAACAACCAAATACCTAATGATAAATAATAGATTTAAACCTGAACTTGATAAAGGACATGGACACCTGAAATAGTTAACTGGTGTTTGGCTACACACAAGATTGTGTTGCTTTCTCGACTTTTGTATTGTGCAATTATAATAAAGTTGTAATTGCATTGGATTATTGGCTACTAAAATCCTATTGTTTATATTTTTAATTTGGGCAGAAGATTGGAGACTGCTGGATGCAAGCACTTGTTTTGTACCCAGCCGGTCAAATATGAGAATTCCAAAATGGGGGCAGAAACATGTCCAAGTTTCTCCATCACCGGTTCAATTCCAGCTATGGGAACACCCCAGCTAGTGCATTAGAGAAAGGATTTGCAGCATACTCTGTCTGATTTCTGTTGGCGCACAAATATCTACACTTGTGAGTGCATTGTTTTAATTTGATATATTTTAATAAATGGAACTGCTACACTATGCTGGTGCTCTCTTCTATACTTTTGTTTTTTAGTTCCTGACTTCCTGAGAGCGCCCCTTCCTGAGCTTTTGAGAAGAGCTGCAAGGCTGATTTGTAGTCATTCTGGACTGTGGCTGACTAAGTTTACTATTATTTTATTATTTGGTTTAATATTGTTTTGGCTTCGTATCACCATTTTGACTTTTTATGGTGTTTTGTATTACATTCACAGTGGGCTTTCTGTATTAAATAGCATCCATTTATCCACAGCTACTTTTAAAACACTGACACATTGTGGTTTTGATACAATCTATGCGCAACAGAGCATCAGTAATTAGTAGGTGTTTTTAGGAATTCTAATTTCACTGGTTGTGACAGCCAGGGTACTAGCAGCAGAAATGCAGCAACGGCAGTCTGCATATTTCTCACATTACAGTTTTTCTTTAATCTGTATAGTGGCTCTAGTTTAAATGTGTGAATATCTGTAGTTTAAATGTGTTAAAAATCTGTAAATATACTTTCCTATACATTCTTTGACTGTAGCCAATCAGCTGCTTTCGCTGTTCGAGATTCCCAGTTCTATGCTGTTTAGCATGGATGGGAGAATTAATTTAACAAATCAATGCATGTCTAAATGGGTGCAGGATATGCTGTATTTCAGAAAAAAATATCAGGAGTCTAAATGATCTTATTTTACAATGTACCGGAAGCAGAAAAAGGCTGCTGAGGAAACATGAAAAAAATTAAACTTGTCCATGTGATCAATAAGAAATAGTGGATTTCTTCTTTGATGTAACTGTACTGTATGTAGTGACCCACTGACTATGTTTTCATACACAAGTTTATGTAATATTAGCATGTTTTAAACCTTCTTAGTTTTTTTTAGTCTCTATAAACAAAAAGAGGGCCACAGTGATAGAAACAAGTCAAATTGGCCATCTGATGTGCCCAATGTGAGGCCAGCTTACTATAGCTTCTTTCCATGTTCTCAAAATAGAAGTCTACAGTGACCATAGCTATTTTAGTCCTTCAGACTCCAGGAACTTACAACTTACATGTGACTCTAGAGGTCAGCTGAAAAAAAATCCCTAGTTCAATGTTGCTGATCTTAAAGTGACAAACCCCCAACTTATATCTGACTATGCTACTTACCAGTTTGAAAATATTGCAGGCTCTTTTAATGATCACTGTAAACTCGAGCAATATAAAAAAATGACAACATTAGTATCCAGTCATAAACACCCTGGTGTAGAACATACACCAGGAATATTCTACACATCAGGATGGCATTTGAAATAAAAGCTGATTAATAGAATTTAACACAAATACTGCTATCGAGAAGGGCAAAAATGATCTACTTATCAATGCCTGAGCACCACACCTCTGAGGATAATTTAATTCTTTCCCATTCTCCAGTGTCTTTTAACAGAAATAATGCATACTTCGTGAAGGGCCTGGAGGTGGAAATAATATGAAGGGCCCACTATTATAGACCTCTAACAATGTATATTTTCCCCAATAAAGACAGTTGTATAAGTATGTTAATTAGTAATTTCACTTGTGAGTCTGTGAAAAGATCTAAGATAAGAAGGCCCTAGCTGATGACTAAGGCCAGGTCTGGCCAAAAGAGTAAGCCAGAAAGTTTTTTGCATCCTGTTTTGAAGACTTTAACAAAGATTTTACAGTGGATGCACTGTTCATGGAGTGCTGGCTTTCGGATTGTAAAAATAGTAAAGTAACAGCCCCTGAAAATGGCTATACAGACACTTGGGGCCCCAGTGCACAAAAAACTGAGCGCCTCTGACTGATCCTCTGAAGATTTTTTACTTAAAGACCTTGAATGCATAATTTTGTTACAAAATATACTTTATAAAAATTAAGACTGACTTGACTGAAGCTTATATTAAGTTTTGAGGAAAAAAAAACAAAAAATAAATAAACGCTATGCATAATATGCACCTGTTGAGCATATAGACTAACATTTTCCTGCATATTTATTGATTTAGGGAAACAAATATTAATAATATTCTAAGCAGTCTGATATCTAGGAGATGTACCAATTTAGCATCAACATGTCTGTATAGAAGCTTAATCATACAAAAATTATAGACAACGTTATTTTGTAAACCTCAAGACTGTTAAATCAATTTTACAAACATATTTCACAAGCTGAGGTTATATGGTTCCCTCCAAAGCAAAAACTAAGTTTTCCAGTCTTTAAGGATCATATTCTAACAATAAATATAATGAATAGTGGAGCAGTGGAATTTCGCCATTCAACTTAAATGCATTTGCACTGTAATACCATCATCTTTGGTGGAAGGGCTCATTCTGCATTCCTGTCCTCGGTTACCTTTACAGTCGTATTTATGTATTTAGTCAGTTGCTGTTATTTGATCTTGTTCTCCACTATCTGTTTCTCTGAGCTCTACATGACTGGAAATATAATAGGTCTGCTCTATTATTTCATAGTTGGGTAATGGCCAACTGCTCCCTCGGAATTGTTGGAAAGGGAAATCCTTGCTACTACAAGTGCAAAGCATTTTTCAAACCCTCCACTCGCCAACAATGAGTTCCAGTCTCCAAGTCTAAAAGTCTTCAATATAAATCTTTTGTCACGTGTTGATGCGTCATTTTGTTTTATCTCCAACTTTGCATCCATAATGAAACTTTCTCAATGTCATCTTTGCATATCAGATAGTTGGAAAAAATCCCACAAATTATGAAGCAGTTTCCACTGGTTACATAAAATAAAGAAAACCAAGGATTTGAAAAATCAGCTTGGTACCATGCAGTTTCTTATTTTAGGATGTCTATGCATTTTCTGTAAAACTTTTAATTTAAGACTCCTGAATGAAGGCTGATGAAATAAGGCCAGGTGGGAGTAAACCATAAATACAAAAGTCACACTTGGGTTATTATATGTGACTGTCCTATGGTCATACTTTTATCATCTACGGGTCCAAGTCCATCAAGGAATTCTGCCTTGGAATTGCTGTATAAGTTGTCTAATTTGTCCAGCTGTGGGCTCTTATCCTTCACTTTAGGCTTTGGAGTATGTGGGGGACCATTTGGGCATGAGCCAACATGGTTGTAGTGACCAATATCTGAACATTCGGTTTCACGGTGGTAGAAGTAGCTAAAGTTGGATACAATGACTGGCACGGGAAGAGAGATAGTTAAGACACCTGCAATGGCACAAAGAGAACCCACTAATTTACCACCTACGGTCTCGGGAGACATGTCTCCATAACCTACTGTTGTCATGGTGACCACTGCCCACCAGAAGGCCTCGGGGATGCTGGTAAACTTTGTATCTGCATGATCAGCTTCTGCAAAGTACACAGAACTGGAGAAGAGAATAACTCCAATAAAGAGAAAAAATATGAGCAGCCCCAACTCTCTCATACTTGCTTTAAGTGTTTGCCCCAAGATCTGTAATCCTTTGGAGTGTCGAGACAGCTTGAAAATACGAAAGACTCTGACCAAACGAATAACCCTAAGGATAGCCAGTGACATGGCCGGCTGGCCCACTCCTCTGTGACGGGCAAGTTCTGTGCCCAAAGCAACAAAATATGGTATGATCGCTACAAAATCTATCATGTTCATGATATCCTTAAAAAAGGCTGGTTTGCTGGGGCAAGCGATAAAGCGCACTGAGAGTTCAAAAGAGAACCAGCAGATGCAGATCGTCTCCACAATGAAGAATGGATCCTCAAATGGACTCTTCTCTTTAAAGATGTGAGTAACATTGCTTCTGTGAACAGGCTGCACCTGCAACAAAAATAAACAAGTAAGCAAACAAGCAAAAACCAACCTAATTAGCTCAAAATTTAATTGTAATATTCAATGATTTATCATCTACCAAGTTGTCCCAAATGTAGCCCAAGTTGTAGGCACAATGCAAGATGCTAAAGCACACTTATAGGAGAACTTTGAGGTGAGTGATTTTCACTCAATTTCATAGTTCGAGCTGACGTGTGACAATGAAGCTGTCACACGTCGGCTCAATAGATCTGGAAGTGAGCGAACACATATTGTCTCACGCTCACTTCTCGATCATGTCCTTGCAGAGAGCCATGACTGTCACTCACGGCTCCCTGCAGGGATTCCCCCCCTCCGCAATCCGATCCTCCAGTGCTGACTGGCAGAACAGACGAGGGAGGGGGCAGGCACAGCTGGCTCTGCCTCTAGATAGGCAGAGCCAGCTGTCAATCACACAGCTGGGTGGATCTCGACAGTAATGTCGAGATCCGTCCCGGCTGCGGCGGTCTCAGTATACCGCGAGCTGTAGCTTGCGGTATACTGAGCTTTGGGTCACGGGAGGATGCTATTTTGTGTCCTCCCGTGACCCTTAGGAGAACTATGGGGAAAACACTTACCCCATAGTTAATAGTTTAAAAAAAAAAACCTAATCTGTTTCTTACTATTTATTTTTCTCTTTGGAATTATACCAGGCCAGTGTATGAATAGGCTTTGCAGTAATACTAGAATTTACCAGCAGGTAGTGTTGCACATGTAATCTAAAACAAGTTCCAGATCACAGTAAAACTAGGAAGTTGCATGACTAGGTACCTCAGATGGTATCTGTTGTTACTTACCCACTGCTTTGACAACCAAAGCTTGACCATAACCTGGAGTTAAATGGTCACAGCAGCCTTTTATTACTCTTAAATTACAGTAAAATAACAAATGAGACATTAACGCACTATTGGATTATAGGTCCTTGAAGGCACTATGCAAGAAACAGATCCATATGTCTGTGGGACCAGTTCCATAGATTGGGCTCAATACAAGTTGATCGTGCAGAAGAGAGGACACCGTACCCAGGATGGGTCCCTGACCATTTGTTATTATAGCAAAATAACCACATTTAGGAACCCCAACACACCAATTATCTGCCATGACTTCCAGACCAGCAGTCCAATATCAACCAATTAAGGGCAGGTGGGCAGGAAGTTCTCAGAACATCTGTGCGACGGTGAGGCCAGGGTCCAACTCCACATACTGCCACCAAGGGATGACAAGACGCAGTTCCGATCCTACCGTGCTGTCACCAAGACATGGCGATACCACTCTCAGCCTCACCCTGCACAGATTTTCCAGCTCACAAGTCAACAATCTGAGGCCAGAAGACTGAGAGTGATTGTCGCTGGGGTTGGGTAACTCCTCTGTTAACCCCTTACACAGAATAATAGCTACCACCACAGGTTTTAATGGAAAAACACAGCGTTCCAGCAAATTCTGGGACTATTTAAAACTTAAGCAATGCCTGTGATGCCCACTGTCCCTTCAGACAGGAATAGAAAAGGCTTTACAATAGGTTAGCACTTTACAGAGTCAAAGATATCCTAAGACCTTATTTAGAGCATAGAGATAAGCTTAACAATTTTAAAAGACTGTTTTTGTTGGGTTTTTTTAAATCTTTTTATTCAGTTTTGCAGTTAAGACATTAAAGTCTGGGCACCAACATAGCACCCAGATAATACACAACCAAGTGCATACAGTGCAGCATAACATATGCTGATTATTACATCTAAAAGTAGACAATACAGTATTAACATTTCTCCGACCATGAACCTTCCCCATCCCTCAGACACATATAGGATCTCTAAATCAATGGGATCCGTTCCGCTCTCCAACCGCTCCCCATTAAGAAGAGCCGATGTATGGGTAACCCAGAATTTCTCCTAACCGGTGTATAGCATGATATACAATAAACCAAAAGAATCAAGTACACAGTAAAAAACAGTACTCCAAAACTCCAATCCCCCTCCCATCATATGCACTCTTAGGCTGGGCACACACCTTACAACCATCGCAAGACTTTTGTCTTGCGATGGTTGTAAGGTACTTAAAAAAACGTACGATCTGCCTATCTTGCATAGGCAGATCGTACTTGCGATGATCGCAAGCCACGCCCCGAGGGGCGGGCTTCCGATGACCGCAATGCCGAACGGGCAGTGTGCGATTTTATCTTACGAACATGCTGCAGACCCGCCGAATATCGTGCGATGCTCGGCGGGCTTTGAAACATGTTCGTAAGCTTAAAGTCGTGCGACCTTACAGTAGTGGAGGTCGCACGGCTTCCACACACCTTACAATAATTGTACGATTGCGGGATTTCCTGCGATTATCGTACGATCGTAAGGTGTGTGGGGACCTTTAGCTCATCAGGCTGCTCTGGGAGGTCAGAATCCGCAGGCGAGGCACTCCTAGTAGGACTCAATAACTCCGAGCTGACTCCTCTGATTGTTTACCTAGATCGTTAGTGTAATGTCGGTTTCTATCGATACTGACCAGGTTTTGTCAAACTTTTGAGGACACTCTTTGCTAGCATAAAGTAGCTTTATGTAATTATAAGGATGCGTTGACCAGTGATTTCCAAGCCCCAAGAGCAGGTTGTTCCGGTTTCCTCCAATGGAGGATGAGGAGCTTCCTGGCATAGAACAGAAGGTATGTTAGCAGTGTGCGGGATGCCCCCGAGGGGGTAAGATCATCAATGAGGCCCAGTACGCAGATTTGAATATTTATAGCAATGGGAATTTGCAATAGTCTTATGGCCACCTCAAGGACCCACCTCCAATAGTTCTCGACTCTAGGACAGAACCACAACACATGAATGAGGTCTGCCGGTTTACAGGAGCATCTCCAGCATCTGGAAAATTCTGAGGAACGCATAGCCTCAAGTCTGGCCGGTGTGTAATATGCACAATGGACAATTTTATATTGGATCAACCTATCCCTTGCGGAGATCAGGGTGGTCATAGATGTGCCCCAAAGCTCCTCCACGTCCCCTGGCTCCAATTCCAGACAGTCATTCATCCAGGCCCCTCTACACCTCCCCCTCTATGCGAAAGCAATTTATATATGGTAGACAGGGGTTTGACCAGCTCCTACGTGCAAAGCAGGGACTCCATCCCAGAGAGGGAAAGTGACAGGCAGACCACCAGGGAACTTGGAAGAGAAGGCATGGCGTAACTGGAAATAACAGAAGAAGTGACTGTTCGGCAATGAGTATGCTGACTTAAGATTTTAAAGGAACTGAGGCCCCCGTCACGGACTATATCATTCAATGTGAGTATCTTCCTGGAGGTCCAGCTACCGGGTCTAAGATGGTTGTAAAGTGACTAAGTGAGGGATTTCTGCACAAGGAGGTATGTGGAGAAAAGGTTGGGGGAGACCCCAGCGCCCTTACCTGAGTTGCATTCCAGGCCCTCATGACAGATCTCATAGATGGCGTCTGGCCGTTCCACAAAAAGTCAGAGATCAGGGCGTCTATGGTTCTAAAGATTCTTTTTGGGATCCACACTGGGGAGTTTCGCAGGGTATAGAGCAGAAGGAGTTTCATCTTTACTAGGCTAACTCTGCCGATCAGGGACAGGGGGAGATTCCCCTGCTGAGAGGCGGGTTTTAAATTGGGTGATGACTGGGCAAACATTAAGTGCTATGAAGTTCGAGACAGAATTAGAGATAGTGAGTCCCAGATATTTAAATGTGGACACCTGATGTAACTGTGCAGCGGGCAAAACCAATGAGTGGTCCATAGGATCTAGAGGTAGATATTGAGACTTGCTCCAACTAACTGACAACCCAGAATATGTGGCGAATCTCTGCAGAATTCGAAGAGACTCCGTCAGAGAAGGGCCCATATCAGCTAGGAACAATATCATATCATCCGCATAAAGTGCTACCCTCTCCTCTAGTCCACCTACACAGATGCCTCGTATCGCCTTGGACTGGCGAAGGGCACACACCATCGGCTCTATCGCCAGGGCAAACAGTCCCGGAGACAGCTGGCATCCCTGCCGCGCGCCCTGGAAGATCGGAAAACTCGATGAGAGAGCAGCCCCCATTTTAATGGCAGCTCTAGGTTGACTATATAGAACCTCGATCCATCTACAGAAAACAGGGCCAAAGCCCATCTTAGTTAGGACAGCCTGCAAGTACAGCCAATCTATAGAATCAAATGCCTTCTCTAGGACAAGAGAGACAATGGCTCTAGAGCCGGGGTTATCATGAAGTATTTGTGTGTGGGTATATAGTCTTCTAAGGTTGATGTTGTGTAGATGTATAGGGTATGAAACCCATCTGGTCTGGGGACACCACACCGGTTGTCTCGTGGCAAGTACCTTCGTGAGGATCTTGAGATCCTTATTTAAGAGTGAGATGGGTCTATAGGAGGAACATAGTAGTGGATCCTTGCTTGGTTTGGCTATTAAGACCACATGAGCATCATACATAGAGGGGGTCAAAATTCCAGAGCGTAAACAGGTCTCATATAAAATTCGAAGTCTAGGGACCAGATCCCACGCATATTTTTTGTACCATTCCGCCGGGAACCCATCCGGACCTGGGGATTTATTATTTGGAAATGAACTAATAGCCCGGAGAATCTCTTCCTTTGAGAATGCCCCCTGCAGAAGCTCCCTATCGGCAAGTAGGAGTCGTGCAATATCCACCGAATCCAGTAACGTGGCCAGTAGGTCGGCATTATAATCAGGAATGCGCTGGTAAAGAGCCCCATAAAAAGCAACAAACTCCCGGAGGACATCTCCCGGGTCCGTTTTTAAGGATCCATCTGACGCCTGAATGCAGGGGACAACCGTGTGGTTCCTCTGTTCCGCTACAAGCATCGCCAAGAGTTTCCCATTTTTATCACCCTTCTCTTATATAGTTTCAGACTGTTTGGTCATAATGGTCCGGGTCACAAACTCTTGATTGAGAAGCAATTCTCTGCGTACCCCCAGTAAGGCTTGAAGTGTAACCGGGGA